TCTCTCTCTCTCTGTGAATGAATGGTGTGAAAAGACCACATGACCTCCTTAAGAATCTTCTCTAGGAAAGATTCCCTAGATTAACCAAGACAGTAAAGTGGAGGGAGCAGAGACTCCAGACATCTGTCCTTGTAGCCTGAGCTATAACCCTCTGCACAGGGTAAGTTAGATGTTATTCCTGTGCATTCTGGGTTGGGTTAGTTGGGTGGGGGGCAACTATGCCATTGATATAGCTGATTCCTGGTGCTTGGGGGTAAGATCAGATGATCTTTTTAATATATTTATACATACATAATGTCTATGCACATATTTAACACTTACCTGCACATAATAGAACCATTTGTGAAGCTAGCCTTTGCTCAATGAGGACATGCTATGGGATAGCTGTGACTGTAATTCAAGTCTAGTCTATTCATCTCACGGGAGTTGTCATTCACAGTTTGTAGGATTATCCTTGTGCGTTACAGCTTGGCAGGGGTGCATAACTTTGAATGTGACTGGAGGGAGGCTCCCCAGAAAGGGCAAGTCTTGCCATACTGGAAGGGCCCTGAGGTAGCCACTGTAAGGTGATTTAGGGGATTGAGCAATGAGAGAAGCTCCTCCAACTCTTCACAGCTAGGAGAGACATTGCTATCTACATACATGATCCCATTTTAGTCCTTACGTATAATTCTTTGCACATGATTTCTTCCAGGTCTCCAGTTGCAGTACGAGGCCCCCTGGTGGCCGGAAACAATTCATGCGTTTGCTTTTTAAGACTTTGGATGGGTAGGGGGTCTGGCTGAAGGTACCAAGGTACTAAACACTCATTCAGACCTAGTGCTTGTACTAGAGGCAAGTGGAGTGCAATGATCTATTTGGGGGAAAGTTCTCAGTCAACCATAAGATTGTTAGGGGTTGAGGATTTAGCTCAGTGGTACAGTGCTTGCCTAGCAAGTGTAAGGACCTGGGTTCGGTCCTCAGCATCCTGCTCCCCCACAGAGTCCTCAGCACCAAAGGACACTTGCTGAGTTTTCATTCTTGAGTTCACTTAGTACCTTAATTAGGTACATGTTGCATTCTTTATGAGACATAATGTTAGGTAGTCACATTATGTGACTAAAGACAGTCCACATTTCTAAAGAACTTTGGAAGTGGAATGAAATACCATGCCACTAGCCTGAGAGGAAGGGAAAGGCACCATCAGGGAGTAAAGAGATAATGACCGTGCCAGAGCCATTACCTGGATAAAGGGAGGTTTCCAGGAGGAGGTGGTGATGGGGCCAAGTGGTGACGTGCAGCAGGGCTGCAGTGGGTTGAGGTGGAGGAGAGTACGGCTTTGTCATTAGAGGGGAGGGAACAGAGAACTCTAGGCAGACGCAAAGGCAGAGAACCAGAGCCCTTGCGGGCATGGTCAGTACTCTGGCTAACTCAGTAGGAGCTTTGGGAGCGCGAGGGGGAGTGCAAGTTGATACATCTGTCTGGAGCAGACTGGAGAACTTGAGCCTTGCCTGACAAATTTCTTCATACAGCAGCGGGGAGACTGACTCTCCTGGGGCTGAAAAGAGCTGTGTCAAACTCAGCCGTATCCACAGCCATTGAATGAGCACAGTTTCGTTCTTTCGCATTGGCTGGGAGGAACCTTGACTACCGCCAAAACCACCGAGGCGTTTCCGGTTACCAATACTATGCAAGCACCCGGAAGTCCTTGTGCCAGATGGTTCCTGCCATATTTAATTACATTTTTCAATACAAATCCCTCATAGAATACCTTTCAGGAACATACTAGACTTAGCTTTTTTTTAACCAAGCTTTAAGTGTTTGTGCCTATTTTCTTACTCTGGCTTAATGTGATTTAAACTATGTGAATGAGGAATATTTCTGCTTGGAGTTGTTGGGTAGAGTCCTCATTGTGGGACTGTTCACTATCCACAGAAGAATTCAAGCAGTAACCTTCCTTACACAGTGCTTGAACCAACACAGCAAGCTGTCTGCAAAACTCCATAATGCCTGGCATATAGCTGGTGCTCAGAAACCTGTGTTAAGCAAATAATTTTTAATGACTAATTCAGGAATAATGCAATCCACACTTAACAGAACAGAATAAAATTTCTGATTCCAGACATTGATTTCCTAAATATAATGGCACAGAAATGCTTAGCATATAGTAAGGATAATAGTACTATTCTTCAGAAGTAATGAAAAAAATTTTTAAAAAATTTCTAATATAGTTAAGAAGCAACATGTCCATTTGAGAAAAATACAGTCAACAGTTTGCAAATGAAAAGAGGGAAGATGGACAACTTGAGACTGCAATAAAAATAAAACAGAAGCAACTATTTAAAATTTCAGCAGCAATGAGTATTTATTATTTTGAATAAAATGTACATTGAACTTTAATATAAAAATCATCAGAAGTGCTATACAGGATTATAGTAATATTAATTTAACCCCCCACATCATCTATTAGCTATACTTCTGACCCATTATGATCACATAAAACTGTCCAAGGTTATAATATAAAAAAATATTAGTTTATTTTCCAAGTAAAGTACCACCAGTGATGAGTTACTAAGAGTGAAAAATAAAAGGACCAACATATGGAAAAACATTGTCACAGAATTTCCTACGTGTATGTGAAGTCCAAGGCAATGTAGACCTTCAGCAGAACACTTTTTTTAATACAACATCTTAAAGAGTGTGGGTCGTCTCTTCAGGAGGTAGGCGTCTGTTGTGCCAGGACTATTTCATTATTTTCTCATCATTCCTTGGCTACTTTCCAACATGAAGCAATGCCGTCTAATGCTATGTATCTCCTGTGCCCCCCTCCCAACGTGTTTAATGTAAAGACAAAGCTGGTTCTTCTGTCGTAGCAAATAGCCCTTAGGAATAAGTTTGTCATTAATGAAGTCATTCACAAAGAAGACATTAAAGAAGCAGGTCATTCCTCACAGACGAGGACTCCATGGATGGAGCCTCCTCCTTCAACCCCCCTCCATTTTTCTAGTCTGCCCCAAAGCCAGGCCCATTCCCTCCCTGGCTGGCTCTGGATGAGTGGGCTGACCAAGTCAGAGCAGGTTTTTCATGCCCCATAACCCCTTTGGTCTCCTTCAGTCTTAAGCAAACAAGCTTCTCTGATTGGCCACCAGAGCCGTCTGACTCTCCCGTCGCTTGGCTTTCTTGCTCCTTTGTCTCACCTTCCAGCACAAGGCGCTGGAGGCTAACAGGAAAAGTCCGGAGGAGAGAAGAACCAGGCCCAGGATGGAGATAATGGAGCCGTGGGAATTGAAGCTGTAAGCCACCGCGGTGACCACTATCCCCGTGATGAAGACCACCACGGCGAAGGGGATGATACAGCGGTAACAGGAGAGCTCAGCGCCTCCTGTCGCAGCCAGCAGCTGAACCTCACTGACCAGCGGGACTGCGGTGACCACCACTTCACTCTTGGGGTTTTTCTCCATTGGCACTGGTGTGAGGGACTTTGGGGCTCCCGGGCTCTCTTTTATAGGCTCTTCAGTCATGTTTGCAGCGGTACTTCCTAGCTGGGTTCACAGCCTAGAGCTCGAGAGTCTCACGAGGGTGGAAGCTGTGGAGATGACAGGAAACAGCATCACCTAACTGCATCAGAATGAGCCCTGCCTGTGGAAGTAAGTAGAAGCACCTCCTTTCCTGGAGGTTCCGTGCATGTGAAAAGCAACTTCTCTTCTTTCAAACTGGTTGCATTCCCTTTGCATTTGAGCAAAAAAAAAAAAAAAAAGGCAAGATGAAGCTGATAAACATAAAAAGGGGAAGATATTGAAAGCAGGAAGCCTTTTTCAGTGTTTTAATATTCTCTGGCAGTCTATAGTTTCTGTTGTAAGCTTTTTCACTTTGTGCATTGCTTCTGCTTTCTTCCTAAGCCCAGAAAGGCCTGGATCTGAATGCAAAGATGGCCTCATTTAAGAGGAGAGTACGTTATAAAACAGTCCGTTCCATAACTCATAGCAATTTGAACTCTGCCAATTTTGCCGGGCATAACACACATTCTTTCCAAACTACCCATTCACTGCCCACGGAATCAGTGTCAAGACCAGCGGCCAGCGTACATATGATGATCTTCTCCGTCACCTGACTGCCAACCAGCCTTTACTGTGTTACTACTACATGCAGTGCAGCCTGAGCCCAAACCTTTTAATCCCCTCCCCTAATGGCTGATGGGCAGTTCAGAGAAAAGAAACCCCACAACAGCCAATAAGGTAAAGGTTTGTTATCAGAAATGTGGCAACATTCTCCTCTCCATCTGAAAAGGGAAAAAAAAATCCAGCAACTTCACGAGGTATAATTTTGTGTGTTTACTTTTTCAGGTTAATGATAAAATCAACACTGAGCTTTCAGTTGACAAATTCTGTCCCAAACTCAGCAAAGAATTTTGATATTATGCATACATGGTCACATTTAAACAAGCGTGCTAGGTAGTAAAATTTGACATTTATTCTTTCCCCGCATGCTTACGTAGGAAACCTGCCCCTTTTTAAATATTTTGAGCCTGAACACTTTAGGAAAAAATTTGATCAAAAACATCTGGCTGAAATATTCCCATGAGAAACTGATGAATAATTTTGTCTCTGATTACACAGGAGATGTCACTGTCTCACAGCTTGGAGATGTAGACTAGTCATAGTGACCTGGAGTTTACAAGAAGACACCAGAGGTGTTTTTAATGAGATTACTCTACTGAATATATTAAGCATCAAATGAAAATTAATGCAACCCCCAATCAAATCTCACTGGTTCCTTCCAGCCCTGGGAAGTCAAAATATCACTCACTGAGCAATGAAACTGTTAGAGCTGCCTGCTTGTTTGTAAGCTCTAATCACCAGATTAAATCACTGTTCAATGACAGCATAAATTTTGCTGTGCCAGGGGCTGGGGATTTAGCTCAGCGGCAAAGCGCCTGCCTGGCAAGTTGAAGGTCGTGAGTTCGGTTCCCGGTACCGGAGGAAAACAAAACAAAACAAATTTTGCTATGCCAATTAGAGGATATTTGATATCATTTCTGGAGACCAAAAAACAAAAACAAAAACAAAAACCCACAAAGAACTTCTTTCCAAAGCTGCAGTTGTGCTAAGCTGAAAAGATAGGTCCCCAAACGAATTGCACATACCTTGGAGGGAGGCTGTCCATTCCCAGGGAAACCACTGGACTTGGAAGAATTGGGCACACGTGCGTGTCTTCCTTTAACTTCTGAGAAAGAAAGAGCCTGTCATAGCAGTGTGGTCAGGAAAATGACAGGTCAGGCAGGGATTTCCTCTGGGGAAAAGAAAAATATATATATATAAATATAAAAGTACTTTGCTGTAGGTCTGGTTTTGAATCCCAGAGACCTCCCTGCTTTCAGGCTACCTCTGCTCCTAAATGACGCTTGTCTTTCCCTCCCTCTCTTTTCATTCCCTCCTCCTCAGGTCTGCCCCTCCCTAACAGCCCCCCCTGCCGTTCTTTTCCTTGCCAGCAGATTCCTAGTTCTGGCTTCCCCCTACTCTGCTCAGTGACATGATAAGTCAGGATCATTTCTACAGTCCCCAGAGATAGGAGCCAGCTTTTACTTTTATTTCTCTTGCAGCGTTTATGAAGCAGGCTGCTTTGAATTACTCATTTTTTCCCCAGCCAACCTCCAGACCTTCCTCCCACCCAGCAGGCATTTTCAGAAGAGAATCCCAGAGTCAGCAACGCAGACCCGGCGGAGGGGACAGAGCTGCTGCGTGCAGGACAGAAGCTCCAGGGAGGCACAGAAACCGTGGTGACGTCAATGAGCAGCTGAAATCAGCCTCGACATCAGCAAAAGTCCACATTCCTAGGTCTTGTCTGTGTGATCCTCTGAAGCTTATCACTCACCCCACCCTCCTTTGATGTTAATTCCTTTAGGAATGAGGGTGGGAAAGGCTAATGTTTGTGGTTGAAGGGTGGAAACCAGTCCGTTTAATTTAAATACGATGGCTTATTGCGTGAGCCAGGGTACAGTAACTGGCAACTCTGAAGTCATCATCATCATCTTCACCAACATCACCGCCCTTTAAAAAGCAACTCCTATGGGCACGGCTTAAGAAATACGGCACACTAACATTAATTTTCATTAGTTTATAAGTGAGGAAATGACAACTCCGAGAGGTTGAGTAACCTGAGAAAGATCATAGGAAGAAAGAAAATCTAAGTTTGAACTCCTCAGCCATTAATGCATACATAACTGGTAAATGTAAATTCTGGTTCAACAGGTCTGCAACAAGGTTCCCATCTATGCCCGCGCCTGGATGTCCGCTGACCCACTTTCAAAAGGAGCAAAGTATTGTAAAGCATTTGAACGTGCAACTTGACACCTCATACTCTGAAACAGCGAAATTACATGTTTGTTCCAGGCTGGAGGTGTAGCTCAGGGATGTTCAGGGCTCTGGGTTTGACCGTCAGCACTACTAAAAATTAAAAAGTCACAAGAAATAAAGAAGTCTATTCTGACCATATGCAGGGCCTTATAGGGTTATGCTGTCTTACAGACAAGCCATGTGAAATTTTAAAGTGCTTGAAATACACAAAACCCCAGGTCATCTCTTGAAAAAAACAAACAGAGATAATGCTGGGAGACTATTAGAAGCTCATCCCTGTACTTCCGTAGCTGAAAATTAGCTGCTGTCCATTTTTAAAATCCATGCAAGTGTCACCAACTCCTTGTAATAAACTATACCTACAAATGAGCTTTAACTCTCGGGAGATATTAATTATTTCCCTTTCTCTGGAATTGTCAGGTCTATCCAGCTGCTGGTACAGGGCTGGGATGTTCTCAAACATCTCACCTGCTCTGTGATACCCTCCTCTTCCAGCCCTGTCTAGTAACAAAGCCCTGATATTGTCACAAAAGGAGAGAGACCACAAGTTCTTTCTCCTAGAACAGGAGCCAGAAGAGGGCTTTGCATTTAAGAAGCTAAAGATGAAAAGCCACTGGGGCCTGGCTGAGTCGGGGGAGCCCCGCATGCTGAGGTACCCATGGTCTCCATCAGTCATAGTGGTTTTAAGACATGGGACCTAAGAGGACAGAGGCATCATGGACAAGGAGTGCATCACTGACCTGGAAGAGCAGAGTCAAATGCATGTAGAACCAGTGCTTTTCAGAACCTGCAAAAGTGCCCTTGGAAGGTAGATGGTGGGAGGGAAGGGGCTAATCAACTGGGTTTTGCTTTGTTTTGTTTGGTTTTAAGGCAGAGTCTCACTGTGTAGCCTGTGTGAGCCTTGAACTCCGTATGTAGCACAGACGGCTTTAAACTCACAAATCCACAATCTCCTGCCTTACTGTCCCAAGTGCTGGGACTACAAGGGAGGAGAGAAAGAAAGAAAGAAAGAAAGAAAGAAAGAAAGAAAGAAAGAAAGAAAGAGAGAGAGAGAAAGAAAGAGAGTAAGAAGGAAGGAAGGAAGGAAGGAAGAAAAAGAAAGAAAGAAAGAAAGAAAGAAAGAAAGAAAGAAAGAAAGAAAGAAAGAAAGAAAGAAAAAGAAAAAAAAGAAAAAGTCCAAGGAAGCTCTGAGCACCACCTTGGGCTGTTAAAGACCACGCTTCCTGCTGAGGTAGGTGGTGCACACTCGGGAGGCTGAGGCAGTAGGATCACAAGTGTGAAACTAGCCTGGGCAACTGAGGGAGACTTTGTCTCAAAATTAAAAATAATTTTTAAAAAGGTTGGGGATACAGCTCAGCAGTAGAGTGCCCCTGGCTCAATCTGCAGTATCCCTTCTCAATCTTACTTCTGTTACTAAAGCCAAAGTATATGAAGCAAGCTTCTAGGGGCATCTGTTTTCATAACGAGCCCTAGGCTTCGTCCGTACTGAGTGACAGTGAGTGTGGCTGTGCCCTGGGGGCGTGGGCAGGTTCGCAGTAAATTCTGAGACCACGCTTTGACCTTTCCTGGCTCCAGGTGACACCCACCCCCCACCGTCCATCTGCACAGCCAGTGCCCATCTGCCTGGATATGCAAATACACATCTCCAGGCTCCAAGCAGAGAACAGATTAGTACTGATGAATTCAATGAAATAGGAAGCTTTGGGATCCAGCGGAAATGGTATCGGGAGAATTGACGCCTTTCATGGCAACTACTGTCGCACAGCGCTTTAAGAAACTTTACATCTTCAAATGGAAATTCAGAGAGATTCCTGGTGATCCCTGCCCAATGCCTATCAACGTCTATTTTCCTTAGTACCCTGTTCCTGTGGACGATTAAACAAGCAGGGATCCCTTCAGGGACACCTGTCCCCAACAGCAAAATTTCATCCAAAATACAACCAGCCTACGTTCTGCCAACCCTCTCTTTTCAGCGGAGAGAGGAAATCTCGCTGGCTCTTTTTCTTTAGCTCAGGGTTTGTAGGAGTCTCCTTTAAGTTTGGAGAACTTTTGTGAGAGCCTCAAATCCATGAACGATATCAACCCTCCCCACCTCCAACCCCCGCTGGCATTCTGCCTTTCTCCCCCAGATCTTTCAAAGAGCAAGGAAAAGATCCTTACCTTTCTCCGCCAGAATGAGACTGAGACAGCTGCCAGCCCAGCAAGCCAGAGGGAGACGCAGCCGGCACTAGGGACCGTAAACAAAGTACTCAGCGAGGTTTAAATAGTACAATTAAGGGACCGAGACAATTTGGTGAAAGGAAATCCTCTAAAGGCGGCTCTCTCTGAGACTGTAATCTATATTTTGTAAGAAGAGCATGAATTTAGAAAAGAACACCCTGCTTTGTTTTTCTCTTTCATAGCCTTAGCCAGGCACTCATTTTCCAAGATTTCCCCATCTGAAGCTCCCATTATGATACCATGCCTCTGTAATCATGCGCACATACAGAAAATAATTCCTTTGTAAGATTTTTTTCCTACACTCCCCAAGGTGTGGGATTTGGAAAGTGTGTGAGGGGGAGAGGGGTTGTAACACTGTAACGTGCAAGCAGTAAGAGAAGTAGGAGGAAGATAAGGATTCCTGATAAAAACGCTGTTTGATTCCTATGTCGACCTTCTTCCGACATCCAGGGACGTGGTTGTAACAGTGCTTTTCAACGGAGAATGCAAGGAAATGAAGATGCATTGGAAAATCTCATTTGTGTGGGGCTGAGGCGACCAAAGGCATCACAGACCAGAGCTGGGAATGTTATGGTACAGAAGAAATTCTCCCCATTTTTTTTTTTAAATCATTTTTCTTTGAAATAAGATAAAGTGATTTCCTGGGTAGAGGGTGGGTAAGGAACTGAAAAAAAGGCAGAGAGGATGCTGAATACCAGGGCAAAGAGCTCAGCTGCCTTTTCCCCTGAAACCAGAGGTTCAAGCTCTAGGCTGGAAAGGGGACATTTTGATTTTGCTGTTGAGCATACCCTGTTGACCTGGAAATGTCTCCTTGGAGAACCTCAAGCTTTGCATTTTGTGAGGAGGACCCCCCACCAAAACCATGTGCATTCGATTACTCACCCATATTTACTTTCAGTTTGTCTTTGCTCGTGTGGTTGAGTTGGCTCTTCTCCAGCAGCCTGGGAGATGCCAGCTCCCCCCAGCCCTCTGTCCAATCACCACTCACCTTTGATCTCGAGCATCACTGACTCCGATTGGATTCAGGAACCTGGCCAGATTTTCTCCTCTCCAATGCTTCTTTTAAGGGTGTGTCTGCACTTATGTTCTGAAATCATGGAAAATTTGGAAAGTCATCTGTGCTTTTGTGTTCATTTTGAAGAACAGGTCATTTTATCATTCCCCTTCGTCTCCTTTTTCTCTCCCTGCAAGGCATTCACCTTTGAGGCAGAGGACATTAAATAGAAATATCTGATAGTAACAAGAACAACGGGTATGCCTAGGATATAAATGTATTTTATTATTGGCTGGTCAGTTTCCAGATACTGGAACTCCATCAGATAGAGAGAGCAGAGAAAGATCACATAGATCTTTCAGATGCACATCATGACCCCATCTTCTCTTGCGCATTTTTACCTAAGTACCTATAAAAATATCACATAAACATGAACAAGCTGGTTCACACAAGGACAATGGTGCAGTGCACTTGCAGGAGGACTAAGTAAATCAGCTCTCACTTCAATAAGTAGCAACTGTCAGCTGGGTATGGTGGTACATGCCTATAATCCCAGGATTCCAGGAGGCTGATGCTGGAGGATTTCAAGTTCAAGATCAGCTTGGGTAACTCAGCAACTTAGCAAAACTCTGTCTCAAAAGAAAAAATGAAAAAGGGCTCAGAATATAACTCAGCGTGTCATGGTTTGTGTGTAGGTGTCACCCTAAAGCCTCATGTGGTCATAGATGGGGCTGTTCAGAGGTGGCTGGACCTAGGTTGTGTCCTGCTGGGATTAAGGATATGATGCTGGGATTGATTTGCTGTGTGATGCTAGGATTAAGACTTCCCCACCTTGGGTGTGAGTGCTACCCACCTTAAGAGTGTGTAGCCAAGATAGCACATAAGGGACAGAAAGAGGGTCTCTGCTTATCATTTGCAGCTTGCTGCTTGATACTTTGCTTCTTCACAACTTCACTGCCTTCTGTCCACCATGAACTGTTTTTCCTCTGCAATGCCACCCTGCCTTGGAGCCGGCCAACTATGAACTGAAACCTCTACAAACTGTGAGCTAAATAAACCTTTCCTCCTTTAACTTTAGGTATTGTGTATTTTGTCTCAGCAATGAGAAAAAGTAACAAAGACACAGTGAAGACCGTGAACTCAGTACCCAGCCATGAGCCCTCCACCCTGACCCGCCTACACAAACACTTAGTTATTTTTCTGGCCTCAGATGAGAAGAATCTTTTCTTTTTTTTTTTTTTTTTTTTTTTTGAAGCAGGGTCTCACTATGTAATCCAGGCTGGCTTTGAATTTTTGACACTCCTGCCTCATCCTCTGGAATGCTGGGATTGCAAGCGTGTGCCACCACTCCTGGCTTCCATTTTTTCATATTGAAAATCAAAGTAAATGCTGAGATTCCTATGATCCTGATACATCCGCACATATTTTTCACAATCCTTTATATTCATGTACACTTTTCTTTGGAGGACAATGATAAGGAAGCACAAAAGTAAAAATTTATAGTGAACGGAACTGACATTTTTTTTTTAAACAGAAAATAAAACAAAATAACTGACATATTTTTAACACAAGGGCACAGCATCAAGACCAGCTACCCATCATGACTATAGGTCACCTATGCTGGGGCATGTAGGAAACCTACCATACTTGCTTTTTCCAGGGAAAGAAAGGGAAAGGAAAGCAAGGGAAGGAAAGGGAAGGGAAGGGAGAGGACCATAGTGTCCACCATGCCACTTACCCCTATACCTGGCAATATCAAGCCCTTCTATCCTGTTTACAAAATAGAACTCCCCCAAGCTTAGTGACAAATAACCCTCATTCTGTCCATAAAGTACTATATACAAATATTATGTGATACCAGTACAGTCCTAGTCAGTCATATTTTTGGGTTTTGATCTGCGGATTGGAAACCAGCCTGAAACATGTAAAATTTCTTAAAACTAATGATCTCAGGGGCCGGGGATATAGCTCAGTGGTATAAGTGCTTGCCTGGCAAGTCTGAGGTTATAAGTTTGATTCACAGTACCAAAAATAAATAAATAAATAAAACTAATGATCTCTTGCATCCCTGTACAAGTCAGTTAGTGTCTCTGTCTTCCATAGTCACAGAGCAGAAAGTACCTTCCCGCTGTGTAAGCCACCTGTAGTCACCATG